TCACTCTAAACCCTCTCCACTGCCTTTAAATGGTGACAAGACGAGTCGAGTTGACCACGCATATGTGTGAACATATAGGACACGTGAAGTGACACCTTTACCGTCAAATTTCGTTCACACATTCGTGCATGCGCACTTCTTTTTTGGCAAACTACTCTCTTTTCTTTTAATATTTTGTATCCTACACGGACGCATACAATTCTCCGAGGTATTCAACTTAAGAAATAATTGGGACAGTGAAGTTGGTCTGGTAGGAACCGGGAAGAGATACACCCCGTAATACAAAATGACCGCCCCTAAATTCCAAGGAGAGTTAAGACTAGGTTTAAACTTAATATTAGGGTTGGAGTTTAACCACCAATCATACATTCAGCAGTCCTTAGTCCTGTGCCCATGCATTAATTCTGTTTCGAAACTTCGAATGTGGAGACAGGGGGCTTTTGCTGAATGAAGAAGGCTGTGCAAGGGCTGGAGTGGCCCCTATGCGCGCAGACTCACCTGCTTAGGATCCCAGCTGAGTGTGAGTGCTCTAAAAACCACATTAAGGAGGAGCCATTGAATCCTGACTCCCAGTCCGCCGGTCAGTCAATCCACACAAACACACACTGAGTTGACAGTCTCTCAAGCTACGGGCTTATAACGCCCCCTGATAGCCCCAAGCACGTCATATTGTTTATAGTAAGGAAAGTGCTATAAACCGTCCACCTCACCCTCTCCTACCACCACTAACATCAAACCAACGTCCAAACAGGTCATTCGTCTTATGTTGGATGGCTGCAATGGTTGACAGGGGGCGGCAAACACATGCCCACCTAACTGGACATCCAAAGCTCCTGATAACGATGGCTGACTTCTTGCATGGGGTCCCAATTTTTGTTCGGTTTTGTTCCCAACAGACCTTTTACTCGCTCTTGATAGATCTTTTTTTCCGTTTCCTCTTTAAAGGGAACGGTGGGACTGGTCAAAGGAGGCACTGGTTGAAGACCCTGTAACAGCAATTAGCTCCCGATACCTCAGCCTGGTCTCGCGTATCTGGTCACCTCTGTTGCTGACAAGACACCTTCACCGGATTTATGCAATTGACCGCGCGACCGATGAGTTGGGCTTCCACTACCCCACTGGTGACGTCCTACCAACGCAACCGCCCGATTATAGGGCAGGAAGTGGCCTTAAGGAGAAACCGCCAGTAACCTTCCTTCTGCCTCTCGTTTGGACTCGAGCCCCCTTCGTGCTTGGCCTTCACCCTAGGGAGAACTGGGAGACAACTATAAAGAGGCTTGCGGACGACATCTACTACGACTGCCTGAAGGTCAATCACTTAGAAGGTATAGCAGGCAAAAAAGAAACTTGGAAATACTTACCGTAGGGGACTGATACGTATATAGCGAATTTACTTGTGAGGTGGCGGCTTGCGGTTACCGGTTTGCAAGGCTAAATGAAAAAAAGTAAGGCGTTGACATTTAAGGTGGCTGCATAATTTTACCCTTTTAGACCAGGTTCTAACTGATCCTATCAAGGTTGGAGGAATAGCAAGAAAACTGAGCTATCAAAAGAACTTTTTTGGCAGTGTCAGTCACCATTTCCCTTCTTAGGGTAGATTTTAGCATCGTGTCTGTCTCTGACAATGTATTCGGGTGTGAATAGGAAGGCTAAGACCGATAAAACTCTTGTTCGTCTGTGTCTTCTGAATCGTATTTTCATTGGTTCAGTTAGCGTGAGCTCCCAAGGGGTTATTGAGCATTACTTCACAGCAGCCGTAAACGTTGCTGAACATGGGCCAGTCAGCGTAACGCAATCAAGAGGTGGTAAGGAAGAAGCAAAGGAAGATCATGCTGACTACTCTTAGCTTACTTGCTTTCATTGCCATCGCTCATGAGAACCTCGGGTTTGTCGTGTAGTCTGGCGTAGTCTGCCTGTATCTGCAAACCCGTAAAGCGACCACATTCTCGCAAGAAATTCCAAGTGTTTTGCGCAATCACCACATGAAGATGAAAAATTTGGCAAGCTCATATTCCCATCTGTTATGCTTATTGTTTATTACTCGGCTACTGACAGTTATAGGATATAGCATTACTAGTCCATTATGGAGCAGATTGCCCTCCTATTAAATAGGAGGCGTCTCCTAAGCCTCAAGATAGAGTCAAATACTGCAAAAGGTGAGCCTGTTAACGACAAATGGCACCATGCAGCATAATGACATGGTAAAACTTGAGCTATTACTTAATAATGTTTCGTTAAGCAGTAAGATGACACAGTCTGGTGGATAGAGTTGGGAGGCCGGAAACCAGTGAAAGCTCTTATGTGCCCCGGGCCTCAAACATGTAGTTGCTCAGAATACCATAAACCCAGATTCACACTCCCTGCTGGGATCGAGGGGATATAAGTAGACGTTCTGTAAAGTCCAAACTACAGCTAGATACTGTAGTGGGCATATAGGTAGTCTACAAACGGCAAACTTTACGGTATAAAGGCATGGCAAGACTTGTGCTATTATTTAATAACGTTTTATTTAACTCGTAAGATAATCACTTTCCCTCATACAGATAGGGAGTGCATATGGGGTGCCGACGTCTTAAAAAGCACGCACAAATCATATTATATTATATCATACCATTTACTGGCCGCAGTAAGCATGATTACTAGAATTAGCACTTAGGCATAGGCACGTAGGCTGAACCTAGTAGAAACGAACATAGCCTGATGGATAGAGTTGAGAGGGTGTAATTCAAGGCAAGCTCTGCTGTGCTCAGGGCCCCAAACATGCACTTACTTGGAATAGTTTAAACACAGATTAACACTCTTTGTTGAGATCAAGGGGTATGAACCCCAACGTTGGCTTTAATCAGCGTCACCGCTGACAAATTATAGCTTTAGTGTTAGTACCAATATTACTAAGGCGCACCTACCTTGCCAGCTAATAGTTAGTCGGTCTTGGCACATAATAAGGGTGAGTTAGGGTAGGTAATGCGCAAAGTCTACTGTCACTTAAGGCTAGGTTAGGCGGTGATTCTGGATTGCACTGCAGAAAGCCGCCAACGCCGGATCCCGTTTTGTCTTCTTCATTCCGGGCGGAGATATGGAGTGCGATTGGCGCTAACTACGTCCGTTATCACTAATCTATCCCCCTGAGGTCGTTACCTTCTGTACCAACTTGTTGGTGAACTTAATCGAAATCGATCCTCGAACACACATTTACTCTCCTTATTAGATTATACCGTAAAACTACAGCCGTGTTTTAAGTTCACTTCGCAACCTCTTTATCACTGAGTCCTGGGGTGGAAGTCTACGTTCGGTTGGCGACTACTAAACGTCTTAAGTAACAAGAAACACGAACATTCTGCTTGATCTGCAGTTTCAATCATCTGGAGCTCTCGCAGGCAACTGTCTATTCTATAATTTCTTAGAAAAAAAACCCAGAGAGTGCAGAATACGTCTGTGCATGTTTCCCGCTGGCTTAAGGTGACCTTAAGGCGGTACTGTTGATTTCACAGCTTTTGACCCGAGACCTAGGTCACAGCATACGCCACTCAGGCTGCTGCTGTGAGTCCACAAGAGCGCACATGCGTGTGCGTGGCACGTTATAGGCGCAGATATTCACGCAAAGCCTGCTTAAAGTCGTGGCTTGGAGAGTAGCCAACTGAGGACCTAATTTAAGACTACAATGGCTTCCTCGCAATACGTCCCAGATGACACTTTTACTGATGCGAGCCAAGCGTCAATCTCTTACGTGC